CGCTTATTTCCGGTACTGCGGTCTGTTTTCGCACATGCGCAGACTGAGAAATCCGAAAGAAATCAGAGTAAGAGTTTACACTGAGAAATCTGATTACTGAGCCAAAATCCAGCCTCTTTATCAGATTTCTTAATCAGATTTCTAGACCTTACTTTGATCTAAGAAATCAGAGTGTGCTGTTTACATGACCATTTGAATAATCAGATAACTGAAGAAATCCGGTTATGATCAGATTATTGGGTGCATGTAGCGTACTCACTAGTCACTAGGTGTGCAGTGATGGTAAAGGGGTGTGTGATGAGTCTATGGTGGATGTTGAAAAGGGTCTAGATTAGTCCAGGTGCACGTTGGGTGGCAGCACTCATTTATCATGATAGTGATAAATATCATCCTATTGCCCAGCCCTGGTATAAATATAGTTTACAGTACATTTACTGTACTACCAACCAGATGCTAGTTTAGTAGGCCAGTCAGCTGTGTACACTGTTCACCTTTGCTTTCGCCATTGGTGTTACCGGCATAAAGTTAGTTGCGTGTGGTCAACTGGAATATTTTTTACACGTTTGTAGTGCAAGCATGGTCTTTCAGAAGCTTTCGGCACTTCCCTTCCATTGTTACTTTCACAACACTCGATTTGTGACTTCTCGCCACATCAGCCCACATCAGCCCACATCAGCCACAACAAGAGTGATTCATTGAGCTGTGCTTTCATTGTAAAACGAAAAAATAGGCTCTGATGCAGCTTCTGCGCGATCCACCTGCCCCCACTCTGCCACCCACCAATGGGTCGCGACCTACAGTTTGAAAAGCAGTGGTCTAGGTGAGGTTTCATTTTTAATTCTTGGGGAATTCTTTGGCAGAGGTGACGCTCTGCTAGCACTCTAAACATTGTTCGGTTGAAATGGAGAACAGAATCAGAATTTGACCCCTTCATACAAGCTCGTACGAGTCTGCCTGGAAAAATGAGTCAGAACTAAGTTTAATGTTTTGACTGTTTGTTAAAATGCTGGCTACCATCGTCTAAACGAGCCGTTTCAAGTTTAGTCCTCGGCGAAGACCAAGCAGTCTCCAAACACACCTGAGGCAGGTGATGAAGGCTTTGAATGCATGTTTTGTCTAGATCAGTTGGTTTAGGAGCTGAAACAGAACAAAATCTGAACAGGCTGGGGGTCTTTGAGGTCAATGACTAGTCCTACGGTCATGCTAGACCTGTGTTTTCGCAACGACCAGTCTTTTGCGTGATCAGCTTTGGATTTATCACATGAGGATTATTGTCAGCTTGGTTTACTGTGTTGTTTTGGTATCAGAGAAAGCTAACATGGTACCATTAAACCTGACTAAATTTATCACGTTGTGTTTTACGACTTTCAGTAAGCACAGAGTAACTTCTTCAGTAGTTCCTTCCTGGGAAGTTTGCCATTGGCCCAAACACACCATGATATCTTCAATGCTTGGGTAAATACTTTTGGGAGCTGGCACTGCGGAATGTGGCCTCTCTAGGGTCTCCTGAGGGCTGGGTGGGGAAAACACTGGTCTAGTGTGGTCTGTATATGTTTCAAACAGATATACAGGGTTTTATAGCGCCTGTGTTGAGCCACCAAAGAGCGCACGAAGTGGAGAAATGGTTTATTGGGAACCAAATGAGTTCCACATGGCGTTCACATGACATGCATGGTAACTCTAAATGGAAAGACTCAGTGGAAAGCTTGAGACAATGGAATGCCGCACTTTCTATTTGATTTCCCATCCGTGTTTCAGTATTGTTTGTTTGGGACGTTTTGGAGAGTTTCTGTGGAGACGGGGAAAAGGGTGTCACTTTGTTGAGCAGCAGAACACGAGGAGTGTGTTATCGCGAACAACATGGCTGTGATTTGGTTACAGGTGCGGGCCAGACCTGACGGCCATGTTGTTGTTCACCACGACACATGACTTGTTCTATTGTATTTTTTTATGCACAACAGCTCTGCAGAGCAATGAACATGTTTTCAAAAATGTTTTTAACACAATTTCTTTTCATGGTGCTTCACAATGGGTGTGTTTTTATGGAGCAAAGTGACTTTTTTTCCGGTTTACAAAGCTTTTGGAGCTTTTAATACACCCCTCATGGCTGTGTTTCGTGCCGAACTCCCTCGGCACTCTGAATTGAGCACAGCGGTCAAGTAGCTTCCGTCACGAGCATTCTTTTCTGAGCCGACCTACAAGATCAAAGGTAAGGCAGGCCTTCAGTGACAGCTGTAACGGAAGAGTTGTTAGTGTTTGCGGTCCTTCACAGATGTAAAGCATGAGATAAACCAAAAGCAGCTTTGGGTTCTACAAAGAACCTTATTGAAAATGGTTCCATATAGCATCAAAAAGGGCTCTTCTGTTGTCACAAACTTGACATCGTAACAATAGTAGAACCCTTTTTGGTGCTATAAAGAAGCAACTTCAAAACGGTTCTGTACAGAACCAGTTACAACACGTTCTCCATCAGTCTGAAGAACCATTTCACCATGCAGAGAACCATTTACACATGAAATTGTTCTAAATGCAACCATTCCCTTTACTTAGAACCTATGCAGAACCATCTATTCACCTATACATATCGAAACGATAGCTTGTTAGCAGTGCTGGGGTCCTATTAGTGCAGTGCTTGAGATTTTCAAGTTTTTCATTGTTTTTTTATGTCGTCTATAATTAATTAGCAAGTAGTTTGGCTGATTTTAGCTAGCGAGTTATCAATTGCTAGCTGTTGCTAAGCAACAGGGAAAAGCAGATGTGTAAACCTGAGGGAAAAAAACAGCCCACCTTCATAAAAACCCAGGTTAAAGTGACCCACTGTAGTTACTTAGCATCTGGCGGTCTATATAATTAGACAGGTTTGATGAAAAACATGCTGCTATCAGATTAATCAGATTTCGTGGTTAGGGCAGACGGTGGTTAAAGGGTGGTCATGAGCTTTAAAGTGTGGGGTGTGGGCCGTTATCAGAGCAGTGTTGTTTACTGTTGAATGGGCTGTCAGTAGACAGTTCCTGTGTACAGAGGGAATCGTGTTCCTGAGGTCTCTAACAGTCCAGAGCATGTAAACATGTTGGACAATGGCTCGAGGACATATGCAGGAGACAGGAGAAGAACAAACATCCCCTCTTTCACACGCACTCCCACACTCGCAAACCCACAGCCACACAGTCAAGAGCCTGACCTCCTTGAGCTGAGCGTTTAGGGGAAGCCTGTGGTGAAGTTCAGAATTTCTGAAACCAAATGTAAAGATCTTGCTTACCGAGAAAAACATTATGGAAATAACCAACACACACGCAGGCCGTTCCCACACACACAACATGCAACATGCAACACATGCCCACATATGCATGATTCATAGGTAGCGTTCTTGCGCAGTGTGCGGCGAGTCGAGGACGAAAACGCACAAAAACGCACAAATTGAATTAATTGCGATTACATGCACGCCAGTAATACGGGGTGATTCAAAAAGATTCGTCCGATTTTAAAGCGCCATATTTTTACAACCGTGAGGCGCCTAGGAACCAATCACATACTAATTGAAAGAGGGGGTCATAGAGTTTCTGACTGTCACCGGAAAACGGCTCCCTTCAGTCTGCGAGGAGATGGAGACCCCTGATCAGAAAGCGCTTTAAATATTTAACCGCAGAGTCAGTGTTAAAAAAATAACAGTGGCAGGAAGATTTGCACCACATTTTTGTCTATGTTCGAACAAGAAACACCACACCTAGTGAAGAGTTAATGCTTACAGCCAGGGAGCTTCAGCCTTCAGTTTGAGAAATGAGCAAAAATTCACTCTTTCCACCAAACTCTTGGGAAATTGGGCAAGTTTTCAGATTACAAATATGCTGCGGGATATTGTAAAGTTTTTCAGAGGTATCCTGGGCAGAGTTACAGTAACAGGCTATGAAGGATCAACTCGGCAGGCCAATTTGCTGCTCCACCCTGATTCAGGGCCATTTGAGACATTCAGCATGTCCAAGAGGTTCGTTAGAGGCTCCTGGAACCCCTAGGAACCCAAGTGTTTCTGACCTTGGGTGTAGTCCTTAATGATTGGTCAGTGTTACACAAAAAAACCCTTCATGATTGGTTTAAAATGATCGTCTCATATTAGTCTGCTCTGCAACAAACTGTAGCCTGAAAGTCTCACTCAGTACAAACAGATCCTGTTTTTTCACACTCAGCATCCCATCCTGCAGAGCAGTCAGCCAGGGGTCGGCAGCTCCCTACACAGAACACGCCCTCACATCCTTGATTAGCCAAGAAACTGCTCACCCTGCCTCACACACACCTGCACTGCTCTACTCTGATCGCACTCAGATAAAAGTGTTTTAATGATACACACAATAAATGTGAATAAATGCCATTTCCACACAGGTCACACTGTGCCAGGCACCGCTAATATTATAAATGATGCTGGATTACTGGACACACTGAGTAGCTGTATTGTTTTAGGTTATTTGAATAGTGTGTTCCAGTCATCACTGCTTCCTTAAAGGCCGGAGTACACAGAGTGGACAAACACGGATATTCGTTGACGGTTTACAGCTTTCCTGCAAAAGCTCTTTCAAACCAAATGAACTAGACTGAATGAAAACGTGGTGGAGTCTCTTAACGATCAAACGCAGGTAAAGCACACCAGCCAGATGTTTGTTTGTGTTGGTGCGGTCCATGAACTCTGGCTATAACACTGGGTTAGAAACCTGCTGTGTTGTGATCACAGCTGTTGTGCTTTGTTTCAGAAAAGGGTGAGTGGAGCGGCACAAATGTAGGATTGCAAAACATCTTCACAATAGCCATCCATCCATCTGTTTTTTTTTTACTATGCAGTTTTAATGGGATGGTACCTGTGATGTATATTATATGTGCCCAAAAGCATATCGTGTGGTGATTTACCATGATAATGATAATGGTGGTCATATTGCCCACCTAGCTTTTTTCAAAACACTGTCGAGATTACTGTAGGTCCTTTATTACACGCTCTCTTTCTCTCTCTCTCACAGAGCGGGTCAAGGTGGAGGTCATTCAGGGAGATATAACAGATTACCAGAACGTTCTGGAAGCCTGCAGGGGAGCTGACCTCATCATCCATGCGGCCAGTCTGGTGGACGTCTGGCACAGAGTACCAGAGAAGACCATCTACGCTGTTAATGTGGGAGGTGAGAGGAGTTCAGCTTTCTGTAAAGGATGTCAGAGTTTATATTACCTGTCAATGAGATAATCTGGCTCTGGCCTCAGCCCACACTGTGACGTAGCTTTTACATTAAAGCCCTTAGCATGGCTGTGCTGGGAATTCAGATTTGCCAGTAAGTGACCTACATGTTTCCTCTACAAGTTGGGCACCGCTCCCTTCCTGCCTGCGCTCCGGAACATTATTCAGAGGGTGTCATTTCACATGCTGGTGACCGTAAACCTCACCACGTCTTGGTAACTTGCTACCACTAACAGGAATCTAACACCCAACGTGTCACAACTTTCTTGGCAAAACATCCACCTCTGAAATGCTTTCAACGAAAACAAAGAACTTTTAATGTAATTTTATATGACAGACTTTATTCCAGGGAATTTATGTTGATATATCCACCATGAAATATTCACATGATGCTGCTGTAGAATGAAATTGTGTCCTATTGCATCATATACACAGTACTGGAAAATGTCAGAGACCACCCTTCATTTAATTTCCAAGCAAAACATCCATAAACATAATTTTTCAGCATCTTGGAAAAAAATGAAAAGATATTTTATAGAAAATTACACAGAAGTTTCAGTATTTAGTGTGTCACTTTTTACCTTTATTACAGCGATTACTTATTATTTTTGACTCACTTTCAGTTTCTCAAAGAAACCTGCTGACACGCCTCCAAAGTTCAGTCTTAGAAGTTGGTTGCTTTTGTAATAACACTCTCCCACTCATGTTCTATTGCATTTATACAGGGAGATTCACTCCAAAGAGGCCCCGAATGTTCTGTAATAACTCTCGCTAGGCTGAAGCAATCTGAACCAAACAATGTGCAATGTGCTCCTCAGTATATGGAGCTTTGAACAAGCCGGGATGCCCCTGCGTTGGAGCGATGAGGTAGGCGCCGGACAGCCGTCACAACGTTTAACCTCCGTTTGCAACTTCCTGGTGCATACCCCCGTACCCCTTCATGTGTCTGGCAGAAAACAGAGATCACTTTTAGCATCGCATGGCATGTTATCGATTACACATACGTCAAGGTATGTAGTGTATCTTTTTGGTTCAGATTGCTTCATCCTAACGGGAGTTACAACAGAATATTCGGGGCCTCTTTCGACTGAATCTTCCTGTATAATAACAGGTGTACAAAATAAATAAAAAAGTAAAGCAAAAAAGCTCTGAACATCGCACCAAACCTGCTTTCATATCGACAAGTTTTCAGCTAAAAAACTTTTACGCTATGGATTGAGCCATAAAAGTGTCACAATATCAGGTTCATCTCAGCTTTTTTTAACAAACCTGAATGTAGTTTTGTTCCAGTCAGTCTGTAAAACATTCACAGCTCATCTTGTTCACTGAAATTTATTCTGTTCATTTCTGGTTGATTCATTATTCTGTAGTTGTTTACTTTGCTTAGTTTAATTAGTTTGTTAGTCCAGCCACTGTCTGAAAAGCTGGTCAGTCTCTCCGGAATTTGTTTTTTTTGTATGCTTAGGTAGAAAACTAGTAACAGTTCAATACAGCGTTAACTAAGTGCAGGCACTTTTCTAGTCCAATTTGGCTTGAGTTAAGCTTGTGGTCCACACAGTGACCGATATTTATGAAGCGACTTGGTAGGAACACAGATCTAAGATCAGCTCTCATTAGCTGAAGGTCCTGTTCAGTCCTGTCTAGAAAGCACAAACTGATCACAGATCCACATGTGGGTAATTTGAGCCTCAGCACTGGTGTGCGTGCTGGAGTAAACGTTCTTCCTCTGATGAAAGAATGTGGTCTTGTGACGATTCATCACTGGCCGTCTGTAGCTAATTTCAAACAGGCCACGTCACACGAGGGAATCCATCTGCTCTGCGTCCATTCTGTTTACCGTGGAGCGGAGCAGAGCGCAGGAAGGTGTCACTGCTAATTCCTGTCCTTTGATCACATCTGCCTTGGGCTTTAGCTTCATTAGAGAATTTCCACCAGCTCAGCTTTCTCCCTGCTTTTTTACTAGGCTTGAGTCGATAGTTTCCATCTTTACGTTTTTTTTTCAGCAAATTATCTTTTAACCCTCTGGGTTCTGGGGGAATGTTCTAGATTTTTGCATATATGCATAAGTTCACCTTTAACCCTTCATTGCACAATGTTGCCTCAGGGCAACAAACTCACTTTCCTTACTTTACAATAACATTATACATATTTAAAGACAACAATAGGGTTAACAATATATTTGCAGAATCATGTTTGTTGTCTAGAAGCAACACTGTGCGACAGTGGAATGCATTTAACCAGTCACAAGCCAGGTCTCACCACTTTAGGGAACACGGCTCTGTCATTTCCCACTGTCTCACAGTGTTGCCTCAAGGCAACATACTCCAAAAGTACTCCCCTGCACACATTTTTAAAATGTTTTTGGATTTAATAATCAGGACCGATTATCGATAATCATAATATATAATATTAACCATTTTATGCAAGAAAAGTGAATGAAAGAAAGGGAAGTTTTTAAACTTTTTAATCATAATGCATGCAGTAGAGGGTTAAAGGCACTTGCATTCAATATAATACCCACAAATAACATATCAACGTTTAGAACAATCTCAGCTCTCTCTATAATGAGACCCTCTGACCTGGAGCACCGTGTAAAGAGATAATTGGGCCTGAAAACTGAAAAAATTAAATCTGGTTATAGAAATTCTTAAAATCGCTAAACATAGCTTTACTCATATGAACGAATTGTTTTGGATAGCATTACTGAGTATGGAGAAAAAGAACACACAAAAATATGGTGAGCACCGCTTTGCAGTCGCCCTGCAAAGCCTGAAATAATCATTGAAAAGTCAGAGGTACCAGGACGGATTTGGCGGGCGTCATATTTTGTATGTCTTTCGTATGTGCCCTTAGATCTCAAATGCAAAATTCAACATTATACTGATGAAGATGTGATGAGTATAGTAGATCCTCGTACTTATCCTCATAAGACACGTCCTTCACCAAGTTTTGACTGACTTCTTTTCGACCGCACTCAGATTTATCTGCTTGTGGGGGTCTGAAGCACAACCGATATTACAAAATGTACTTCAGCGCATTGCATGTAATTACATATTTCCACCAGAGAGGGCTCCAAATCCCCAAAACTTACATAGTGTTGCTTTAAAAAAAAATGTTTTCATTTTCATTATATCAGTTATTAAAAGCGAAAAGATAATGAAATAGCTACAGTAACAGTAGCCTTTTGGCTGTTTCACATGGTTGAGCTTCAGTTATTTCATTATTTTAACAAGAAGTGATTTATACGCTGTAAACACACAATTTATTAAACCTTCAGCAAAAACTACCAAACCATATCAAAAGCGAGAACAAAGGTCCTGAGCACAAAGGAGGTTTGTTTTCTGTGATGTAAGCAGGCAGGTAACGTGGTGTTACAACATAACCACCCGTGTTGAAACAGGTTGCTGGAGAAAGGCATGTAAGAGGATCCTCGGTCTGTCAGCATGAGGAGCTGCTTGCAGTCCATATGGACACTGAAAATGCATTCAGACGGAAAGCGGCCTGCATTCCACCACATCACGCAATAGTATCATAGGTGCACGGTGATATTTTGCACACAAAATCACAAGCCTCTTCCTTTCTTGTTTCTATTTTAGCATTTCTTTTTAGATAAAATAAGCATGTATCCTCTGCAGAAGACACACTTCTGCACATATTTGCTAAATTTAACGTATTGGAAAAAAATAGAACATAAAATGGGGCCTGTTTTAACTTATTTACACAAAGAAAATCAATATTTTTCAATCAATATTTGCATATAACTGTATGTGTAAATCACTATGATGAAGCAGTTTAAAGCGTAGGGATGGTTAGGTGGTATATGAGGGCATGAGTGAGATTGACAGAGCAGGACAGAGTAAAGCTGAAGTCTGCTAAGATTTCCAGAATAACTCATAAATATCTGCTTTTATTGCAACCTTCCATACACCTTGGCTCTCACTGTTTCCATCGAACTTCTAGAGCCCTGCTGGGCTCTAATCCCTCAGCGGTATTTTTCCTTTCGTTTTCATCACATCACATTCCTCTGATTTGGACCTGTCAGTGTGTTTTTCTCTCTCATGACGCACAACAGCTGCTACTTTAATCACCGACAAACATTTTGATGGTTTTGTTTTTTTAGCCTTTCAGGTGCTTCTGCTTATTCTCGTGTGTCTCCTAATAGCTTGGAACATTAAGCAAACAGTAGTCACCACTTCCTGATTACATTCTTGGGCTGGCACTGAAGTCCTGATTGCGTGACACAAACAGCCTCATCTTCTCTGAGTGGAGACCGGCAGTGTTTCCGCCATATATTATAGCGTCCTGCTGCTGGCTTGTTTGGCGTTGGACACACAGGAGGCATGGTCATGCATGGCAGGCATAGCACAATGGGAACAGTTTATACTGTTCCGTGCTGGGATGTGGGATAGCTTGGATGGGATTATGGCCTACCAACAGGGAGAGTTGTATGGCCAGACGTGAGCTGCCTATTATCTCAGCCATTCGGTCAACGCTGGGTGGCAGTTCACCACTTCGGCCACGTTCAATAAAAGAGCATTTCTTTAAAGCGCTATGTTTCCCACATCTTCCTGTTCACCAACGTTACAGTGGTGTCAGAAGTGGGAAGTGTGAGGAAGAGGCAGCATGGCAAGAATGGTGGGGAAGACAGTGGTGGAAGCAACACGACAAGGTTTAGCAGCAGAGCCCGGCCAGAGGACAGCGGCGGGCAAAGACATGCCAGCGTGTGGCGTAGCCTGGGGCCCCTGCTATTGACGCTTAGAGCGGGCGTAGTTGGTCTAAGCTGGGAGCCAGGCCTAGAGAATTGTATGGCTAGAAGTGACCTGGCTAATATCTCAGCCATTGTCAGCTCTTGGCTGTGGGTCGCCATTGCATCTGTGTTTAATAAAGGAGCATTCGCTTAAAACACCATGTTTCCTGCGTCTTCTTCTCAACCAACACCACATTATTGCCTATAAATCTTAAATTAAATCAAATGTCTAGAAATTATTCTTTTAGTACCTGGTTAATTTCTTGTAGACAATCACTGCTAACATCCGAGGATCACCAGATATAAAGATACATAGCATAAACTCAGCATCAATACCTGCTGTGGCCAAGATCATCAAATACTTTGAAGAATCTGATATTTGTCAGCACTAAATGAGGTCAGGAGGAAGCCAAATGTGACCTCAGAGTCAGAGAGCCAGGTATTCAAGACTCAAGACTATGAAATAAATGATATTCACAGCCCAGGAAATATCACAGTTAACCACTAGTAGAATTACAGCTGTTTCAGCATGAAATACAAATGTTTCAACTTTGCAGAGGATATTGCATTAAACTTGTCCCTACGGGAACAACTGCTGCAAAGAAACCATTGTTAAGAGCGCAGAAAAAGAAAAAGAATATAACAAATGAGGCCAAGAGGCAGAATATATGGGTCATTTTATTTCTCCAGAAACCAATCATTATTGGAGATTGTTGACAAATCATCATCTGGAGTGGAAAAAAAAAACATGTTCTCTAGCCTCTAGTTTCATATTCAAAACAAAGGACACCAACAGAATTGCTCAAAGCAGAATTCCAAAGATTATTCAAAATTTCTGAATAATTAAATCTTTAAAATGTAAATGAACTCATTCAGAGTGGTTTGGTGTGAAGCGCTCTGTTCTAGAGAAACTTATAGAGTCAGAACTGTTTATAGTGGTGGTGATAGGAACCAGACGTCCACCTCTAAAAGCTCCCTCACATGAAGTTACCGCATGAAATGGTTATGAATATGCTGATGTCTGAGACATTGTTTTATAATGTTTTGCGTTGTAGTTTTGAATCTGGCTGTTTTAGATGGTAAATAAAATGCCTTTATTTGCGTTATAGACATTGTGACCCGATGGCTGGTGCAACTGGAACAAAACCACATTCAGGTTAATCTGAAGTAGTAAAAAAGCTGAGCTAAATCTGAGACTTTGACAGTTTTATGATTCTATCCCGTAACAGGGCAGTTTGTCCGTTTTCTTGTTGGACATTTGTTGGATGTCCAACTTTGTCTCCCCAATTTCTCATTAAATAAAAAGCACACCAAAAAGTAGACGTCCCATAACTGAGACCTGTAGTAAAATAAGCCTCTCTTATTACTACAAGTGATTTGATGTGACTTTACCTTATATATGCACTTTTCAGACAGTCCATTAATGACTAAATCTTAAATGATCTACGTTTTCTGACCTACATTTTAAAAAAAAATATATATTTGGTTGCAGTTTGATCACTTTTGGACGTTGGAACGCAGCTTTTTTGGTAGAAGGAATTGGCGACATTAAAGCACGTTTGGTATGATATTCTTGGCTTCTTTGCTTTACTTGTTTTATCCATTTTGCAGAACTGTTGTTTGAAAGCAGTAGAGTCCTCACAGATTGTTACAGCTGTGAAGATTCACTGTTCTCGCCCTGAGCTCGTACCTATGACTGAATCCCACCTGCGAAGTCGTGTTAATGCACTGTTATTCACTGATTATTCACCCACCCTTATTCTGTGCTTAATGTGACGTGCTCTGTTACTTTGGGCCGAACTGGTGATGCCAAATCTACTGCAGTCTCCGCCAGCATGGCTAAAGTAGCAAGCAATGACCTTAAACTCACCTCAGAATTGTGCAAGAACCCTCTGGTGAAGTAGCACAGTCCATTAAACGTGCATGGATTAGGTTTACGCAGAGGCAGAGGAACCCACCAGTGCCCCATATTTCTGGAAATTGCTGTAGGGAGCTGGAACAACATGTGGTTTTCTGCAGGAAGTTGCTACTAAATGGCTTGTGGTTTCAGAAGCTGTTATTAAGAATCCATGATTTAGACAGAAAATTTCATTTTGAGGCATGTTGCTTTGTTTTGTATCCCATAACACTTTAATTTCCAAGTATTTCCTTAGAACATTGTAAATTATGCAACAGTTCCTTTTCCAGGCCGGACTTTGCCTGCGTGCTGTGCTGCTGACGTTCAGGGACGGTCCAGTAAAGTGCTTTTCTCTCTTCTTTGTCCGCAGGTACAGAGAACGTTATAAATGCCTGTGTGGAGCTCGGCATTCAGTACCTGGTCTACACCAGCAGTATGGAGGTGGTGGGTCCCAACGTGAAGGGAGACACTTTTATCAGGTGTGCTTGTTTTTCTAAGCTCATTCTCTCTTTAGTCTTCAGCTTTCTCCCCCAGTTCTGATACCTACGTCTGTGCAGTGTCAGACACAGTACCACACGCTTAAAAAAAAGATTGTTCTTCAAGGGTTCTTTAGTAAAGAAAATAGTTCTATATGGAACCACACATGTTAAGCCACTTATCCTCCTGAGTTGCTGGAGCCCATACAAGGGATCATTGGGCCAGTCTATCACAGACAGGGCAGACACACTGATTCACACCTGGGGCAATTTAGCCTGGAGGAAACCCATGCAGACATGGGGAGAACATGCAAACTCCACACCGGAAGGACCCTGGTTGCCCGGCCGGGGAATTGAACCCAGACCCTTCTTGCTGTGGGGTGACTGCACTACCATGTTGTCCCTATATATAAAACCATTGAGAATGTGCTGTAGATGGTTCTATATACAACCTTTTTGAAAAGCGTTCTCTATAGCACTCAAAAGGGTTCTTCTATTGTTACAATGTCAAGCTTGTAACAATAGTAACAAACTGTAATGAGATTTACTTCATTCATTCTGGAGAACATAATCTCACTACTTACTGCTTTACTTTTGTGTTACTCTGTAAAAATTAAAACGCATCTGTACTAACTGAACAAAGGAAAACACAACAGTCCTTTCCAGTAACTGCTTTAGAGGGATATTGCTGCTGTCGGAACAAAACCTTGTACCTCCAACATATAACTTTACAGGAGAAGTAAAAAACCTACTTTCCTTTTAATGTAAGTCAATGGAACCAGACTTTTTTCCAAGTCATTTTGGGACGTTTCTTTTGGTCCATTCATCATGAAATTCACACACAACGTAAAGGACAACAGGTGTTTTCAAATTGTCAAAAACTAAAAAAAAACGACAACAATGGAGATACAAAGTTTTGTTCCGACAACAGCGATATATCCACTCACAGTAAACGTCATTTAAAAGGCCTGTCACTATCCCTGCCTTTACTCTGAACAGGACACAGCCTGTTATGCTAAAACTATGAATGTCTAATGCTGATTGAAAACTGAAAAAAAACAGCCAGTAGAAACAATCTGAAAGCAGCCGCCTGGAAATAAAATGTAAAGCTTACACTGCAGTTTCTGAGTGAAAATCATCTGTGCGGTTGAGGTCGGGGCTCTCCCTTCTTCTTTAGCACAGATTTCATATTAGCATGATAAGATGCTGTGACAGATTGCTGAGTTTACACTGCTTTTCACGCTAGTACTGTGCTGCACTGCTCATGTTCACAATCAAAATCATGCAGTCAGCTTTTGCAAAAAGCAAACATGCTCACAGATTACACACAAGGCCCAGCACGGTTAATCTATATAGAGGAAATTTACGTTTTAAATGCATTGCAGAAAGACAATATTGTTCTCTTAGAGACGTACAGTCGAATGCAGAAGATTTTTGTGCTCACTTGCTGAGTTTAGCACAATTTGAAAAGAAAGGAAAACATACAATACAGGTGCCGTAACCTTTGCACAGGCTATTTTTATGTGTTATTTTTTGCTCAAACATGTTAAATTCAGCAAATAAACAGTAACTTTGCATTAAAATGTGCTGAAGTGTGTTCTCTGTAGAGCTCATTTTCACTTACATACTTAAAAAAGATGGTTCTTCAAAGGTTCTTTAGTAAAGAAAGTGGTTCTATATAGAGCCATGAAAACGAACAGAACCCTTTGCATGAATAAAGGGTTCTTTGCATCATGAAAAGCGTTCTTCAGATTGATGGAAAGTGTTTTATATGGTTCTATTTAATACGTTTTTGGAAAGCAAAAAAAAAAAATAGCGCCAAAAATTCTTCTGTTGTTACTCTATGAACCTGAAGAGCCCTTTCACGATGCAAAGAACGCTTTTATCATGCAAAGGGTTCTTTTAGTATATAGAACCACTTTCTTTACTGAAGAACCCTTAAAGAACCATCAATTTTAAGTGTGTAGAAAATCAACAAAATGTCATTTGACCAGGGGCAGCCAAGCTTTTGCATACGACTAAGCCAGTAACCGTTTATTATAGGAATTTAACCTGAACTGTGTTTTACTACTTCATTACAGAAAAAGTTATCACACTACTGTAATGTGCGACTTCGTCACTGGTCAGATCTGAAGGGTTTAATAGCTGGAGAGGCCTTAATACAAAAACATGTATGTGTATTTACAGTGTTCTACCATCACTGCGCACAAGATTAAAGAACAGACCTCAAAAGATGTTTGTTTTTTTTCCCACGGAAACTGGATATAGAGTGTTTGCTGATATTGCTGACATGAAAGAGAAGAGAGTCTATAGAGTCTTCAGACGTGCGCTCACTGAACTTTCTGTTCATAGCTTTGACCTCCTGCAGCAGGGGTCCACAGCGCCAGTCCTGGAGGGCTTTAGTGGTTTTTCTGCCAGCACATCTGAACCAACATAAGCAGAGCTTGATCGTTGTACAGTGAACTGCCTCAGCTCATCTGATACCCATCTCTTCCTTCTTCTGCTCTGTTTAATGCACTTGCATTTCTTAATCTCTGATCTCAAAGCAGCGCTGCAATACGCCTCCATTCCGGGGTAATCATATCAAAAATATTAATTTTACCACTGTGTGAGTCAGAGTGGTGAAATCACTTTAGCTGACTGGCTTATTTCTTTTATAAAATGGCACAAAGAAATACATTTTCTGTTATATTCAAAGATTATTCCATCAACAGCACAGTATTTTAATATCTTGAGCATTAATACTGTACTCTCTTAACAAAGTAGCATGATTTTACAAAGTAGTATAGTTCATTTACATGATTTTACGCTTGGCCCAAATGCTATCGATCAGCAAATGTTGCTTCTTTAGTTTTGGACTGGAGCTGCTAAGGCTAACACTGCTAACAAACACTGGAAGACATTAGTCACCCAAACCATTTCCACAAATACAAGCCAAAATCTGCATATATTTGCCTCAAATCACCTTGATAAGCTACATAACCTTGTTTAGTAAAGCTATTTAGTGAAATGGCGTGAACACATCTAAGCTGAAATTGGAACTTAAGATTAAGAATTTCCACCAAGCTGTTCCTTTAATGTATGCTGTGTGTATGTTAAAAACAGTCCAGTCCTAAAAGCTGATTTTCTGAGCCGCATTCAAAGCAGTTGTAAAACACTTACGTACCACTATGACCGCCTCACAACAATTGAAGTCTGTATAAATATGCCAACTCACTAAAAACAATTGTGCAGTGAATGGACTGGTATGACGCTCACATGGACCACTAAAGCAACAGATGATGTTCTTGTTTATATTGAGGGGCTGACAACTCATTTTCTCAACAGGCTAAAAGATAGGAGTCTAAACAATAGCTGATGCTAAACTGCTCCCCCATTATACTCACTGTCTTTGAAGTATTTACTGAATGATTTACTGCAAGACTGAAAATAGTCTGTGTGGGTGAGGTCAGGGCTCTCTCTCCTTCTTTAGCCACCTTTTTCATATTAGCATGATAAGATGCCTTGACGGATTGCTCATTGAGTTTACGCTGCTTGCCACACTAGCGCTGCGCTATGCTGCTCTTTATTACAAAGTCGAGCCATCACGCTCACACACTCACATTCAGCACGGATAATCTATATAGAGGAAATGTGCAAAGAAAACACTTAAATACATTTTTCTGCAATTGTTGTGCACAATTTATATTTATGTGCTGAATAAAACCATAAAATAATAAAACCATAAAATACAAAATGTGCCATAACCTCAATTCAAAAAAAAAAAACAGTAATTTTGCATTAAAATGAGGCTGACAACTCAGTTTCTTAAGAGCTAGGCTAAACGATAGCTAAGGCTAAACTGCTCCATCATTATACTCAGTGTTAGGCTTTGAATTGAAGTATGTACTGAATGATTCAATGCAAGACTGCAAAATAAAAACGTCAAAGATGTAACTTGAATGTCTTTAAATGTCCGTGTTTTAGTTAAATCTGCCTTAAGTAGCGTTAAACCCAGAGTGGGAAAACAGCTGTGTGGTACTGTTAGCTTGATGCTAACATAACACAGGAGATGCATGCAGAAATTAGCATTATCATTGCAGTGGTGAGCAAAAACAGCTTATAACGTGTTTGTTTCTGTATTAAACGCTGCTCTATTATAATAGTTTGATTATTATACAACGAAGAATGAAAAAAACGAAAGTGAAAGCTCTTGTTCTTCTTCAGATTGGCAACGATAGCTTATACTGAATAAACTACATTTTTGGTGGGAGAACTTCCATTGTGATTATTATTAATTATCTTAGCCGCTTATCCTCCTGGGTCACGGGTGGATGCTGGGGCCTATCCCAGCGCTCATTGGGTGGTAGGCCGGAAACACCCTGGACAGGCTGGCGGTCCAACACAGACATACAGGGTCACACACACTCATGCCTAGGGGCAATTTAGCATCTTCAACTGGCCTTTCATGTCTTTGGACTGTGGGAGGAAACCCACGCAGACATGAGGAGAACATGCAAACTCCACACAGAAAGGAGCCTGACCGCCCGGCCGGGGAATCAAACCCAGGCCCTTCTTGAGGTGCTCTTATTATTATTAAATATAAGTTTATGTTTTTGCCACCTTATAAAGCAGTCAGCCACCTAAAGCTGTGTGTTACAGTGATTTTATGAGGGTTAAGAGGGTTTTACTCTGCTTCATGTAGCCTAACAAACCTTACCTGTGGTAAACTCACTGTAATGTATGGCTTTTTTAATAGCTTATTGCTTTATTCTATGACTTCTTCAAACATGGCTTAGCCAGACATTCAGAGCCTGAACTTTTATGCAGAGCCTGAACTGTCCATTTTATAACACAGACCAATTGATAAACCTGTTTTATTTCATGGTAGTCGACTAGACCTGTGATTGGACTTAAATAAGCTTTGTTTTTTTTCATTTCAAAAAGTGTGCCACGAAACTTTTTGCTCAGAATTGGAAGAAGGGAAAGAGATAATGGAATAAACCTGTTTTGAACTGGAAAAAGTGGACAGAACAATTTCTTGGAAGTCTGGTATTATTTTAAGTGCATTCCTTACTGTACACTTCACTGAAGTTAACACAACATGTTTAATCCTGGGGATGAATGCCCAATGTTTCTACTACCTCAAACCACTGTCTTAGATCACTGATCTAATCATCAAGACACGGGTTCAGTTCAAAAGCATTGTTTCATGTATAAATATAACGATTAAGAAGAAAGACACGTGGTTGATGTCAGAACTTTGTACGTCTATTTTTTTTTTGCTTTTATATCATTTAAAATCAGCTCAGCTGTACATTTCACGATCAGTTTGAAATGAAAGTTAAAGAAATCCCTACATTAACTTCTGTTAAAAGTTAAGAACGTTGTTAGAATTCTCCTGAAAAGAGGTCATACCAGGTTCTGTTCTGACAATAATGATCTATTGACATTTAAAGTTTGTTAACAGGATCAAAAGCTACGTTCAGAGTCAGGGTCCACAACCAGATCAGTCCTTCCTGTAAAAGCCAGTCTGCATGACAGTGACAGTTGTTGGAGTTTATCTGTGGAGAGCGTAGTTTCATATTTCTTCAGCATCTGTTTTTGTCCTCCAGGCTAGCATAGCCTGAAATCAGTAAAGAATGCAGAATGCTGTGAGCCAGTGTGTTTGCCAGTGGAACTTTTACAGTCTTCCAGCAATTAAACCAATATACGCACAAACACACACACACACACACACACTGATCTGCAAGCCCCCAGGAATAGGAGAAGAGCCACAGCAATACTTTCCCTCTTCTGCCACGTGTTCCATCTATTAAGAAACTTTATAAGTCTTTGGAGAATGAAAGGGGAATTTCACCAGTCGTTCAGAATTTCTGCATGATTCACTCGTTGAAATGTAAAAGGAAAGTAATTCAAAGTTTTCACAGTTTTGGTGGTGAAAAGAGACTCAAATATAGCCATTTTATTTACTGTCCAAAACAACCAGTGAACCTACACGTGTCTTGAGTTTTTTCTATGTAATTTATACAACAGTTTGTTCCAACAACACAAGCTGACTGAGAAGCGTGCTACACGTCCAGATGTACATGATAATGACAATTTTTTTTCCGCATTAACTATCGTTGCGCTGAGTTTCCGAGTAACAACTCCCTTTCAACTGCAGGTGACCGTGCAGCTTTAGAACGTGCAAAAACAGAAAACGATACATTAGGTGGCTTCTGTAAGATGACATTCGTCCTGCAGCTCATTTGGTCAGATTCTGAAGAGTGAGGCAGTGGGCCTGCATCAAATTCTGAACCTGTCGTTGCCACTGAACAAGCTTTTCAGTTGGCAGCTGTGATGTAACAACTACACATACTGAAAAAACGAACAGATACAGTTTAACTGAACAAAGATAAATGGAAAGAAATGCTTTAACTTTGACTGGCAAGTAATGGAAAAGCTGAGCTGAGCCTGATATTAGCTGTGTTCCAAGGTCTAGGCTGCATTTCTCGGCCGCTGCGTCACAGAAGGCTGTTCCAAAGTGAAGCACCCTTCGTGTGCAGCCTAGAAATGCAGCCTACGTTCTGAGTGATTTTGAAAAACAACAGATGTATCCTTCCAGGCCTTTGGTTACCCACAGTTCTTTGTGCATGAACGACGCGCGGAAAAAAAAACAGCACTAAGAAAATGATGGAAAACGAAGCCGTTGGAGCAGAGTTAAGACTGATTAATTACAGCATCCATATATCATATATCGTCCGCATATCGTCCAAGTATTTGTACGAATGTAGTTTATTGTTCTACATAAGAACATCTCCTCCATTTCCGTGAAGAAACAAAACAGCAACAAACACAATGCAACGGGCTCCATTGTCTCTCACCAGTTCCCTCGCAAGTTTCGCGTTGCAATTGCAAGAGGCGGGACCTTTCTGGTGATGTCATCATGCAGCCTTGTTAGGACTTCCATTTGTGTGACTGATAGGTTGCTAAGGAGAAGTCTTCATAGGACAGTCCTACCGAGGACCCGCACTACCTCGGCTGCAGCCTGGGCTTTGGAACACAGCTATTGCGACAGTTTTATGGCTCTGTGCTTCACACAAAAGGGTACTACTTTTATTGGCGTAAGGATTCGCCAATTTGAAACAATGTTTGGGGCTACTTTGCTATAATTATTTGTCTTTTATTTTGTAGGACTGTTGAATAAAAGCGCTGGAGATCCTGCGTAATCATGTATAGCATCACAGCAGATGTTCTATACTCACTCTTGGCTCATGCCTGCGACCGAATAACAGCCGTGATGTCATTTGCGATAACTCACTCCCTCTCAGGCTCTGTTGGCCAAATCCGTAATGATAAAGTAATACTAAATCTGAAAGTTTTCTGTGGGGTGTTTTTGATTCACACTACCCTGCATGTTCCTCTCCACCCTGCCTCACTTTCACGTAGTACATTTTGGGCCATAACTGTAAAACTATCATAAAACAATGTCTCAGGGCTCAGGCAGTGTATTTGTTACCATTTCATGTAATAACTTTCTGTGAGGAAGGTTTTAAAGGCATTAAACTCTCCAGATGTCTGGTTCCTATCACCAACACTGACTCAACAATCAAACCTCTGTGAGTGACTTTACACTGTAATGATTTAATTGTGCAGACATTTTGGAAAATTGGTGGAATTGTCCTTTAAACAGAGAATGAGGGCAGGCAGCTTTTTGATTGTTGTTTTTTATTTCTCCTTTGGGTGTGTTCCTGGAAGACCAAAACCCCATACAAAGAAAAACAGCACTTCACTTGCATCACCCTTGGCCAACTGCTCTGGAACCCCTCAGTGCATTTCAACAAAAGGGTGCTATTGTTATCATTTTAATATCACTGTTACATTTCCTGATTCTACAAAGCCTGTTGTTCTGGGATTATGGAAGTGCTGTTTGTTTCTGTTGGTTGAAAAATGTAAGCCCTCTGCGGCAGACAAGCATCGTATAAAGCTCACAACATCAAAGCATTCTTTTCTTATTTGTCATACACTCTCTGAAAAAAACGTCTGCGCTTGTTTCCGCCATGTAGAGTCGCCTGAACACAATGATTAAACGAGACGCATATGTATCTCTTTCGCCCTCTTTTTCACTCCAGTCTGTTTCTCTTCAGTCTGCTCCGGGGCCGTCCGGCCGTCCATACCATGTACAGTACTCAGACTGTACCTGCTAGCTAAGTTATTAAGTTCTGATAATAATTAAACATCTACAGTAAGCTCATATTAATCAGGATGATGGGCATAAAGGTCCTCAAGGTCCCAAACATGGCCTTGTTGTCTATAAATTGAGAATATTTGTGCCAGTTTAATGATAACACAGGCTAACAATGTTAGTCTGTTACTTTAGCCAGAGAGCATTTCTTCTTAAAGCTACACTATGTAAGTTTTGGGGATTTGGAGCCCTCTCTGGTGAAAATGTGTAATTACACACAATGTGTGAAAACATTTTGTAACATCAGACCCCTTATTGAAAATAATTGCAAATGAATCTGATGATTGCGAGCGTGTTGAAAGAGAATTCAAAGAGAACTCAGTCAAAACTTGGTGAAGGATGTGTCTTTGAGGATGTGAGTTCTGTATAGCACCAAAAAGGGTTCTTCTATTGTTTACAGTGTCAAGCCTGTAACAATAGAAGACCCCTTTTTGGTGCTGTATAGAACCGTTTTCTTATAAAACATACTCTCTTTAACGTTGCAAAGCACCCTTTAATCACACAAAGGGTTCTTTGAGTGTTCAGGGTTCTTTATAGAATCATTTATTTTACTAAAGAACCCTTGAAGAACCATATTTTTGTAATACATATTTATATATATTTGTGTAAATGTGATTTTTATTTAAAAATAACATCTAAATGATTTGGGGGGAGCGTGACTATTTTAGTAGGCTCTTTTGCCTGTTTTATATATACCGGCATCTTCCCATCTCCCATTCCATATTTAGAAGCTAACTCTGTATCACTTTCCCATCTGTTTACTGCAGGGGTGATGAGGACACGCCATATAAGGTGTACCATGACATGCCTTACCCCAAAAGCAAAGCTGCAGCAGAGACCCTGGTGCTGGAGGCCAATGGCAAAAAGGTAATGGATACAAACCTGAGAAATAGATAATATCATGTTGTATCTGGATGTTTTTAAAGGTTTTTCTCTCCGTTTTCAAAAAAATCTTTGGTCATATGAGCAGCGTTTTCGAATATCTACATCCACACAAGAACACAAAAAGAACTCAAAAAACACCTGTATGAGCATGCCAGCCCAGTAGGGGGTGAGATTACCTATATTTTCTACTAACATGATGGCGGCATGTTACCAGTACAGTAGATTTTGACCTGCAGGCTATCAGACCTCCGCAGTTATTTCACTCAGACTCTGATTTAAGTCCGATTTCTGCCAGAAAATAGAAGCTTAAAGAGTGAACGAAAGCCTATGGCTTGCTGTGGGATTGTTTACATTGCCATGGATACGAAACCGCACTGAAACATCTATATCCACGCAGTCCAGATCAGGCAGAGACGCTGACTTTTTCTAGTTAATGATCATGAAGTAATTTATCACTGAGGTATTATAATATTTGCAGTTGAAGTGACTTCCCATTTACAAGAACTGAGAACAGTCAAAGTTCTTATAGGAAAGTCTGTTCACTTGCCGACCATCTTTGCAACTCCGCAGGGCAGTTATTTCAAGCCATGTAAGACAAGACTCCTCTCTCATCGAATGGGGCGAGACATGAATACTCGAAACCGAACAAATTACCGTTTCAGAAACAGATTTGAAATCAACAGTAAAATCTGACAAAAACCTTATAAAAAGTTTGTAGAGTTTGGCTCAGTAATGCACAAAAAACGTGTTTTTTTGGGTCATTCTGGCTACTGCGTCTGCGCAGATCTCCACAAGGGGAGTGCTTTCCTCACTAGTACCACAATATCGTCGACGCTTCTTCGCTCTCTATGTAACCAGCAAGCTGATTGGCTCTTTTTCTTGTGGGGCAGGACTTTCTTAACAAACAGATGCTATGTTAAGCGTTGCGAGCTTTCCCATTTATATTTCAGCCAGTGACCAGCCTCCTCCTTTATAACGTCTCTGGCGCAGTAAATTCGGACACCTCAGCACTGCAGTTCAATGAAAATGTAAAGCCACGATCAATTATAAACGTTATCAACTCCGAATTCACCTCCAAATTACACAGCACAGAGAAACAACCCAGTTGTCCATCATATTTCAGACAGTCATGCTTATTAAACACGTCAGCTTTTTCAAGAGGCTGTTTCACCCGTCCACACCGAAAATGGAGCTTTTCTTCTCCAACCTGGAAAGCGTTTTTCAAAAACCTCAGTTTTCAGTAAACAAAAAGACATTTTTGTGTGGGCAAGGGCCAAAACTCGGAGAAAAAACCTGCTTTTTAAAAATATGATGATACTTCTGGACGAGGCCTAAGATGGCTAATTTTTGGAACAAAGAACAGGCCTTTTGGGAGCTGATAGAGCCTCTTACCTGTGAGCTGAGCCAGTTGATGTGATTCACTGACGAGCCAAAATGCCCATCACTAGCTGTTTCATTTTGAAACCTGGTTTTCTGTTGAAGTTTGCTGCTGGCTTAAACGTGCAGCAGAATGACAAATGCAACGTAGTATGTCAATGAATCACACACAAGAACACGTACACACAGGCTGCAGAGCCACCAGCCTAAAAAGAATCTGTGCCAGAAATTACGGCATACTGTTCTCCACTCAGCACTGCCTTATTCTCAACCATTATCTCAGCCCCACAGCATGCAGCTTTAAATACTCACATGCACACCCCCCCCCTCTCAGTCGGGAAGAGCTAGCACTGTGTCTGCGGCCCTTTTTATAGTGAACCTGATAGGATCTCCATGCGCTGAAAAAGATTGATTGTTGTTTCGTTTTCTGCTCGTTGGAAGTTTCCACAATGTAGTTTGCTCAGTTTTTCCATCTTTGAAACTTGGTCCATATCTCTCCTCAGCTTTTCTTTTCCATAAAAGTAGTGAGGGAACACATGAAGTGGAGCCTTAACGAGAAATCCTCCAGAGAAAGATGTTCCGCAGTGTTTGTCGTTCAAAGGAACTCTTTTAACTCTGCTTTTCCACATAACAAACCAGCATACAGCACAAAAGCTGTCTCCTCATAAGGGAACAGGAGACATAACACATCCATCAACTTAACCCTCCATTCTGAGAAGGGAGTTATGTAATTAGTGGTTTGTGTATTTAAGGCTTTGAAGCTGTAGCACCACCTAAATTCTGACAGATTTATGCACAAACACTGTCTCAACTATTTCATTTGTCATGCAGTATTTATTGCCAGTGGATTGTCAACAACGATTGTCTCTCTCTCTCTCTCTCTCTCTCTCTCTCTCTCTGTCTCTGTCTCTCTCTCTCTCTGTAGGTAAATGGAGATGAAAGCCTGTACACATGTGCCCTGAGACCCACAGGGATCTACGGGGAGAACCACCAATTGATGAAGGATTTCTACCAGATGGGGGTCCGCACAGGGGGCTGGCTGATTAGAGGAGTGCCCCGTGACACGGAGCACGGACGTGTCTATGCGGGTAAATATGAGTGAAAACATGCATCAATATATTGACCTGAAGGTGAAAATTCAACCACACTGGATGCTAAAATTGACTGGGTTGTGCTCACAAATGCATTTTTTTCATAGCAACTGTTGCTAGGATTGAAAGCTTTATAGAACATGTTGAATTTCATTCAACCGTAGGAAAAATACAGAAATTGTAGAAATTGTGAGTAATTGTTACGGGGGCAGTACCTCTCACGTCACTGTTGGTACCCTTAAGGGTCCGTCTTCTGTACCTGTAGTTAGGAAAATAAGTGAACTACGTTCCATTGTCAGTTATTTTTTAAGTTGTACTGACTTCATTCACACTCCAGGGGCCGAATTACAGAAACTTTCTGTCTTTATGTCTTAACTTAAGATCTGACAGGTCAAGATTAGATTTTTCGCAAATCTGATCTTAATTTAAGAATCTCATCTTATCTTACAGCATCTTTTCTTATCTCAAGTTAGGAAATCTTAACTTACTCGGTTGAAGTCGACAATCAACGGTCGTGTCTGTTTCCTAGCAACCAACCATACGCGCACAGCTGAAACGTAAACACGTAGTCAAGCTAGTCAGCCAGACAGCTAACATTAGCTACCGTTACTGATGTAAAAAAAGGTCAAATAAAACTAAAGCGTGATAAACTGAAGTGAAGAATATCGTGTCAGCGCTTCGTGCTCCACAGTTTCAGTTTCATTTCCCAAACGCTTTAGCCGAGCACGCTAACGTTATTCCTCCTGATAAACTGACAGCTCTGTCTCCTCATTACTCACCACCATCACTGTAATATTTCATCATCAACATTAACACACGAAGGTAGTAAGAGGGGACGGTGGAGATCGAGTCTGCAGCGTCTGAGTTCTTAAAAAATGCTGTTTAAAAAGAAACCCTCACAAGTCAAAGCACTGTTATCAGTGTAGATAAATGTAGCGTCATTATGCTGGTTATAGTGAACTGTGCTGCCTGTCAGTGCAAAAAACACTAGAAACAGACAGTTAAACAGAAGTTAAGACGCTCTGGGTTTATCTTAAAGTTGAGAAAACATTTAGGATATTTTGGCAACTTATGATGTTTCTGTAATACTGTTTTCTTATCTGGAAATACGATAAGATTATAGACTTAAGAACTGTTATTCTGTAACGGCTTCTGCCCTAAATTCAGTCGAACTAAAGTTACCATGACAACAAAGTAGATAAGACATGCTTTTTATTTGACTCTTCTATTTTAAAGCATTACATCAGTTGGGCGTTTAGACCTTGGACCTTCGGGTTGACACTTTGACACTTTGTTCCTGTACAGCACCCTTTTTCTGACCATGTACAGCTGTTTTTTGTTGAAAAGCCAAAATTTAGGTTCCACTGTTCAGATCGGGTTTCATCTTTGTCGTATAATGGCCTTACAGCTGGCATCACTACGCTGTGAAAATGTCATGGCAAGTGAAAACATCTTAAATCTAGTCAGTCCATCTCATATTTCTCATTACGAGAATGGTGTAAGAAAATATCAACATTGAACTCATTTCAAAACGTTTTTACTTGTTTTAAGTCATTTTATCTAGAGAAACTGTCTTTTTTCTGTTGACACAGATATTTTTACTTGTTTCAATACACAATGCTTATAATTTAGCTTGATTTAAGAAATAATGTTTAATTATCTGCCAGTAGAATAAGAAAATAATTCTATAGATAAAGTTATTTTAACATAAGAAATACCTAAAAATGAAAAAAGTGAATGAATATGTTTAATTCAATCAAATAATGACAATCGCAATAAGATCTATTAGACATATTGAGCACATTTAAGATGTTTTCACTTGCTAAGATATTACCTTTTGCAGTGTAAAGATCCTGTAAGACAAACTGAGATTACACCACAAAAATTAGCCCTGATTTAAACAGTGTAACTTACTTACAGTGTAATTACTGCTGTCTGAACAAAACTTTTTTTTGAAACAGTTTTTCATTTTTTGACATAATTTGAAAATACCTGTTGCTCTTTACTTTATATGTAAACTTCATGATGAATGGACCAACATAAATGGCCCAAAATGACAAAATGTTCAGACAGCTGTATGTGTATATATACAGCAGTTCTGACATATACATATATATATATATATATATATATATATACACACACACACACACATACATACATATATATATATATATATATGTTAACTTGCTAGCAAAATTAAAACAAATGACACTGGTGAACTTTTTGCTTAGCCTCTATGTTTATCACTAAAAATATAAAAACATTGATGACAGCAAAAAAACTATGATCAGTAAATCTTAAGAACTCAGATTTTGCACTGTTGATGCGTCTAAGGCAAACATACCTACATGATATTTTTCTGAAAGTACACCTAACCAACAACAAACTTAACCTGTTCTAACTCACCGAATAACTGACCACCTTACATGAGGTTCAGAGGGGTCAAGAGATTTACACTGGCCTCATGGCTGAGGAACACTACCCTGACCACATCGGGCAGGAAGGATGTAAAAGCAGGAAGCGTTTATTTGAATTAGGCTCAATAGTAAACAGATTCAAGCAACTGTAGAGTCGTAAATCACCGGACAGGATCTTCAGAGGCCAAGCAGTACAAAAACAGAACCACAAACCTAGAACTGGAGTGAAGATAAGAGCACGGCCTGGCCTGAACACAACTATGACAGGACTTCTCACTGATAGCGGGGCGAGGGCTGATACTGAGCGCCGAGCGGAGATGAAGAACAGATGAACAGGTGCTGCTGATTAGTCAGGAGTGCGGTTTTTGGGAAAGATAGAAAGAAAGGAGTGGCGGGCTGAGAGTACGCTGCGTGTAACCTTTAGAACTTGGAAGAGCCGTATCACGTTCTCGCTCTGCCAGTGTTTCCACATCATTTCAGAAGTTAACACAGTGTTGTTTTAGAGGAGATTGCAGACCCCATTCACTGTACCTCTTGGTTTTGGCTTGGGCTTTAAAGAGACAATTTGGCCTTAGTAGAACATACATTTGATATCTGTTGCTGTCATCTATCACTGGAAGGCATTAGTGCTAATGGTTTTGAAGTCCATGTTTATTTAATAACATATTTAAGTAGCTCTTTCTGCTCTCATAACCAGATAATCATGTTGTTGTGATGTATGTTCATCTGGGTTTCGCTGTTTGAATGCCAGTATCTGAGTCTGCTCTGTGTGGGTGGTTTCCTGTGCAGTATTTCCTAAATTAATCTGTTAGAAAGATATGATAACAGCATTTCTCAGTTAGCTAAATTTAGCAGAACTTCTCAGCCAGGTAACACGAGTTAAACATGGGCTAAATGACACCTATCAACAGCTTACACACTCTAGAATCACGTATGAGAGCCCTTTACAGCAATGAGACACTGAAATGAGCGATCTAGTTACTGGATTCACTTACATGTTTAAGTGTTAATGTGCACCATTACCGGACTACAGAGCCAAACGCGTGACCTCGACTTAGTAAAGCGTGGGAAACATATAAGTCATAGCCGCAACTTAGTAAGGCGTAAAACGAGATAATAAAGTCATGGCCAAGACTTAGCAGGGTATGGAATGAGATAATGAATGAAATAAGTCATGACTATGATTGAGTAAGGCTGAGAATGAGATAATTAAGTCATTGCCACAGCAAGATAATTAAGTCGTGATTATGACACAGTAAGTTGTGGAACGTGATAATTTAGTCATCACTACGACATAGTAAGTTAAGGAACGAGATAATTACTTAATAGGCAAAACTTAGTAAGGAGTGAAATGAGATAATTAAGTAATGATTTTGATGTAGCCTGGTGTGGAACGAGATAATTAAGTAATGATTATGATGTAGCCTGGTGTGGAACTAGATAATTAAGGCATGACTACGAAATAGTAAGTTAAGGATTGAGATAATTACATAATAGCCAAAACTTAGTAAGAAGTGGAACGAGATAATTAAGTCATGACTATGACATAGTAAGTTGAGGAACAAGATAATCAAGTCATAGCCAAAACTTAGTAAGGAGTGAAATGAGATAATAAAGTCATGGCCAAGACTTAGCATGGTATGGAATGAGATAATGAATGAAATAAGTCATGACTATGATTGAGTAAGGCTGAGAATGAGATAATTAAGTCATTGCCACAACACAGCAAGGTGTGGAACAAGATAATTAAGTTGTGATTATGACACAGTAAGTTGTGGAACGTGATAATTTAGTCATCACTAAAACATAGTAAGTTAAGGAACAAGATAATCAAGTCATAGCCAAAACTTAGTAAGGAGTGAAATGAGATAAGTAAGTCATGACGACATTGTAAGTTGTGGAATGAGATAATTGTCCTAGCCAAAACTTAGTAAGGAGTGGAACGAGACAAGTTATGACTACGACATAGTAGGTTGTAGAAACAAGATAAGTCATGACTATGACATGATAAGTTAAGGAACAAGAGAATTAAGTAATAGCCAAAACTTAGTAAGGAGTGGATTGAGATAATTAAGTCATGATTATGACAGCATGGTGTGGAATGAGATAATTAAGTCATAGCCAAGACGTAGCAAGATCTCGAACGTGATATATAAGTCATGGCCATCACGTTACACTATTTCACAGCAGCGTTGCAGTTTATATTAACTACAACATGAACAGATGTATGGCTGCTGTAGTACTTCTGTTATCTTACATAATACTGCAAATCCCATAAGCGTGCAAACAGATTAGCATTATTAATTATTAGCAATAATGGAAATCTGATCAGTACAGACTTCCTAAGCTAATAAAAATGTCTACATTAAACATTACCATGCAATGACATATGGATTTACTGTATGTGACTGAGTGTAAACCAAAATGAGTTCAAAGTTAAATAAATTTATTTAAAAGTTCATTAAGTTTAATTAACTGTAATGGTGCTGACTACAGACTGCAGGAATGCCGAAAAGCCTTCCTCTCATGCCTCCTTTGGTTTTGACACCATGCTTTAAACCTCAGTATCTGGGTTGTTTTCTAATTTGCATTCCTGTGGTTGGTTTCCTAGGCAATGTCGCCTGGATGCATGTGTTAGCGGCGCGTGCTATCAGGGAGCATCCCGAGAGGCTTGGAGGCGAGGTGTACTTCTGCTACGACGACTCGCCCTACAAGAGCTACGAAGACTTCAACATGCAGTTCCTGTCGGCCTTCAACTTCCGCTCGCTGCGCGTGCCGCTGTGGCTGCTGTGGTTCCAGGCGTGCATGAACGACATGCTGCACTGGGTCCTGCGGCCCGTCTACAACTTCACGCCGCTGCTAAACCGCTACACGCTGGCCGTAGCCTGCACCTCCTTCACCGTGAGCTCAGACAAGGCCCTGCGCCACTTCCAGTACCGGCCCCTCTACGACTGGGAGCAGTGCCGCGTCCGCACGCAGAAATGGGTGGACACTTTTCCTCTGGACACCAGCAGCAAAGATGCGTAACGATGAAGAGCAGGGCTTCATCAGGGGTCGACCCAGTGACTGCTCAGGACATTATGATTAGATGGTTGGATGAAAGGGATTGTCTGGAAGTGATGGAAAGGAAATATTGAATGTTTGTTAAGTAAGGTCATCATTCCGAGCATAGTTTTAGGCGTCTACCCGTTACAGAATAGAGAAAAAACAACAATGACTTAAAACTAGGCTGTTAAATTTCAATTTAAGTTAGGCAACCTTGCCTAAATCCATCTGTTAGTGGGTGGACACACAAGCTGGGTGGTCACCTTTCCCTTGGGCGCCATCCACAGGGCGTTGTAAGGCTAAAAGTACAGGGCGTCACCGTCTGAGTGACAGCTAAAGACGTAAATGATGGTGGGAGTTGGGTTTCAGTGGTGGACCAAAAGTGACGGACTAGTGAAAAGATACAGTTTGATCTGTTTATGTGATGATGTCATTACTCCAAGCCAACAGTATTTCAAATAGGCATGTATCCAATATAGAAACATTTCTTCATCACTTATAACTGTGGTGACCATAGATATGAACTGATACCTCTCATTATCCATACTGTTGGTTTTGCCATGACAGGAAGAGAATTCTTCTGCTGTGCTTAAATGTACAGCACAACGATGACCCTGGTCTACTGACCATGAGAGCATAGCACAGTATTAGTAAGCTGTTCCATTTTATGTTAGGGAAATTATGAACACCTCAGTAGTCTTTGATAATTTCCATGATACCAAAAGAATCATTTTGGGCTGAAAAGTAGTGGATTTCTATTTTTGCTAATGTCTCTTTTGTATTAATGTTCAGGCAATAATCTGTATTACGTACATCTGGAGCGTCCAATTTTTTATCTGATAATACAGGATAACCCGTTAATCTTACATCTGTATCAAACGTAGCTGCATTAATACCTTGAAAGCACATTTTCAGCTCATGTGTCAAAAGTTTAAGGTCTTTGTGTTCACTGCTATACTAAAAATTTGTTATAAATGTGTTAAATTCATGTTATATGTTCAATGCTTGACATAATAAGAGACCAAAATGGTCAGCAATGTATTTATTGTTGTATATTATTTTCTGCACTTTAATTCAAATATTTTGATTTAGATATTTATTTGTAAAATGTAGCCATTTTGAATACAATAAAAAGTGTTTATGCTAATTTTAAAATGTTGCTTATGTTATTGAGCCACTTTAAATAACTAGGAAAGAGCATTTTCTGAAGTGATTGCTTAGCTTAGCATTCAACTGTATTGCTATGGTGTTGCTAGACGACTGCTATGGGTTTTAGAATGTTGCTAGGCTAAGGTTGAAAGTGGTTGCTAGGGTATTACTAGGCGGTCGCTATAGCGTTCCAGGTGATTGCTAGGCTGTGGCTAAGCAGTTACTCTGTTATCCCAGGTAGTTGCTATGTTGTTGATGGCTGATTTCAAATGATATTCTTCTCTATGGTTGCTAGGGTGTTGCAGTGAGGTTAGTTTGGAGGCTAGTGTGTTTCTAGGTGGTTACTGAAGCTACGTTCACATTACAAGCCTCATTGCTCAAATCCGATCTGTCTGACTCGATGGTTCACACTCGTTTAGGTAAGTGATTCCAATCTGTCATTAATGTGGACGAACCAGCATCCTGAAATGACCCTCATGCGCACATCCTACTCAGTAACGTCATGATAATGATTCACGTGCATCATCAGCAAACAAACTAACGAGCAGAACGAGCTTCGCTGAGAAGATAATTAACTCTGATCAGCTCTCAGCTTCATTATTAGAGCGAGACGAAGGAGAAAAAGGCGAGATGAGCTGCTTTTCCACTGTTTACAGGCTTTAACGTCTGTTCGGCGCTGCTGCCATGGTAACGCTGAATGATGGCGCAGTGGAAAAAAAGCACATGAATTCCGATCTGAGCCTCACATTAAGGTCGCATGGCCACAAATCAGATACATATCCGATCTACGAAAGTGGCTCAGGTCAGATTTGAAAAGGTCAGATTTGTGTCCACACAGCCCTGAAAACATCAGATCTGAGTCACATTAAGGCAAAAAACTGGATTTGTGCCACTTAAACCTAGTAGTGTGAACATAGCCTAAGCTATCGCTGTTGGTCGCTAAGATGTTCCAGGTTGTTGCTATGGTATTGTTTAGTGCTTGCTATAGTATTCTAGGTGGTTGCTACAGTATCTCTGTTATTGTGGCATAAGAGGGGTGTGGAAACTTTTGCAGAACAATTCCATCATTTATTTCTATGGGAAAAAAAAAGTCTGAATCTGAACGGTTGCTACGTGGAAACCGTATGTCCAATCAAAATGCTGTACATATGCACACCTCTCACAACCAGACCAAACACTCTGAAGTTGGTTTGGTGTTAATATCGCAAAAACTGCCAGACAAGTTATCCAATATAAATCAGCTAACAATATTGATGGGCACTGTGCAACCGCTAATTATGGATTTAAGTTGGCGACATGGCCAGTTTCACATTCTGTATACATTCTTTAAGCCCTTATGATTTCATTAATATTTAATCTGGCATTTCTTTGCCAGTGTTGTCTTCAGATATGCATTCCTGGCCCATTTTCCAAAACAAATACTTTCTTGTCCAAAGCTAGAGATCAAACCGATATCATGTTGAGAGACAAATTATTCTGCTCCACTGACTCAATTTCTAAAGACACAAGTGCCAACAGATTGGGTGCCAGTAAATTTGAGTAGGTCTGAAAAAAAAAGCCAATGTTTGTGTTATCAGGCGATCAAACAAGTGTTAGATTGTTGTTTTTTTTCTCTATCCTAAAGCCCCTCAGGTTATAATACGCTCTACCTTTTTTAGCGAATGTGGCTGCTGACAGCTGGATGAACTTCTTGGTCTGCTTTCTGTTACCCTTCCAGAAACCTTAAGTAAAACTTCATGCCTATGAATCACTCTTCCCAGACTCAGCAATAGAAACACCCTGCCTCCGCTGCCAGTCATGACCACAGAAACGCCAGAGGAATTACCTTGTTGCTAGGAGTTCATGCTTCTAAAGTAATGTCACACAAGATTTTCCTAAATTCAGCTTTGTGGTGGGGTAGATAGTTACCAGGCATTTAGACAGACAGTTAGGCCTACTGATACGGAGGTAAGTGGAGACGCTGTCTGGAACTTCTGTCTGGTAGCAAGCACTCCAACTCAGTGTGCATCAACAAGGTTTAAAACAGACGATCTTTAAACTGCCCATCAAAAGTTTGGAAGCAACTGGTCTTTCAAAATGTTTTAATACAAATGGTCATCTCTTCTTTGTCAGTTTCCAATAACCAGCAGACATCAGAGAAACCTAAACTTGTACACAAGTTAGTTTTGTTACTTGGGTGAAGCAATCACTGCAATAAAAGTCAAAGTATCATTCCAAAAAAAAATAAAAATGCCTAAAAAGTAGTAGTACAGCAAATTATTAGGACTGAGTTCCTGCAGCAGAACTTCTCAGTCCATTCGTCATAGGAACTGAAGTTTGGCTCTATTCTTCTCCTTTTGGATCCATTCAGTCTAGAATAAAATGCTAAAGCTCCAAAGTGAGCGGTGATCAAGATAAAGAACAGGAACTGAACCAACACCAACAGAATGACATTCAATCCTAAAAAGTTTATCTGTAATATCTCTGAAGAACTTCTCCTCCAGTATATTAATGAGGAAAGTAGTCTACTTTTTTAGGATTGAATGTCATGCAGATGATCATTTGTAATCAAAATTCTAATGTCGCTCGAGCACACTGAACTCAGCAAATTCCCATGGCTGGAAAGAACTCAACACATAAATCAGGAAGCTGTTTAAATCTTATTACTTCTTCTTTCCCATCTGAAAGGAAGAGCTGACAGAAGTCCGTTGACCAGCACAGAAAAATGCTTGTAGCATAGTCTGCTTGACTGCTTCAAGTTGAACACTTTTCAATTCAGGACGCCTGGAGCGCCTCGAAAAATGCATTAAGATGAAAACATATTTCCTGTAAATAAACAGAAACACACGGTTTGGCACAAGCTGTCTTTGCACTGCCAGCGTGGTTTCTCCCGGTCAACACTGACGGCAGACCAGCAGTTCAACAAGTCTCTAGCAGAACTGGTTCACTCGTATAAATGTACATTGATGAGCCAAATCATCATGACCACTAATTTGCTGTTGGTCCTCCATGTGCAACTAAAACAGCTCCAACCTGAGTCGACTCTACAAGACCTCTGAAGGTGCCCTGTGGTGTCTGGCACCAAGATGTTAGTAGCAGATCCTTTAAGTCCCATGTGTTGCAATGTGGAATCGCTGAGGATTGGACTTGTTTTTCCAGCAGATTCCACAGATGCACACTCGGATTGAGATCTGGAGAATCTGGAGGCCAGGGTAACACTCTCTTTATCATGTCCCTAAAACCATTCCTGAACTGTGTGTGCAATGTGGCAGGAAGCATTATCCCTCTGAAAGATGCCACTGCTTTAGAGGAATACCATTGCCGTGAAGGGGTGTACCTGGACTGCAACCATGTTAAGATCAACGTCCACATGAATGCTCAGACCCAGGGTCTCCTAGCAGAACGTTGACCAGAGCATCACACTACCTCCACTGCCTTGTCTTCTTCCCACAGTGCATCCTGGTGCCATGTGATATAAAAAGAAGACAGGACACTTTGGACAAGACCTCTTGAATTGCTCCAAGGACCAGTTCTGACACTTGTGTGTCCACTGTTGGCACTTCTGATGGTGGACAGGGGTTAGCATGGCCACTCTGACTGGTCTGCAGCTACTATGCCCTGTAGATTGACAACGCATTCCTCCCATAACCATTGAAAGCTGACGCTTGGCATTGCGCATAGTGATCTTAGGTTAGTGTGCAGCTGTTCAGCCATGGAAACACATTTCATGAAGCACCTGATGCACAGTTCTTGTGCTGACGTGGCTTCCAGAGGCAGTTTGGAGCTCTCTAGTGGGTGATGCAACAGTGGATGGGAAAATTTTCAGTGCTCATGTCAGCGCCCAGCACTCCTGCTCTGTGAGCTTGCATGGATTCCCCCTTCGTGTTTGAGCAGTTGTTGCTCCTAGCTTTCATTTCACAACAACAGCACTTACAGTTGTAGACTGGGACAGATCTAGCAGGGCAGAAATTTCACAAACTGACTCATGGCTGCAACACGTGAACTCCATAATTAGGAGGGGGTGTCCAAATACTCTGGTTTATGACTTCTGACTCCTGGAAGTAAAAGTTGATTTAAAAGTTTATTCCTATTTTCTGTATAATGTGAATTCCCTTCACGTGTTGGTAGGGAAAAACGTGCGTAACCATTTTATGAGAACTACAGAAAAAGAAGTATTGAAAGCAAAAGGCAGAATGGGGGAATCCTGCTGGCTTCAGTCTAAGGGATTCCCTAAACACAGCAAACTGCCTCTGCTTTGCCATGGATACTGTCAAAATAGACTTGAGTAAGAAGGCAACTCTGAGTCATAGCCACTAAACACATACAAAACACATGGGCATCGGTGCAGTCAGGCCTAGCAACACAGTAGTATTATGTAATAAATCATTCTTACATCTCTAACGTAACAAAAACACTCCACCCATTCAAAACACTGCAGTGTGTAGGATCCTTCTCAGCTGTTTTCCATGTTTTGTTGCTAACACACATATAGAGTAACAACAGCAGTGCTGCATAATGCAGCGTTTTTAGCCTTATCTCTATCATCTGTACAAAGCACCAATAACAATTCCCTGCACTTAGAAAAGAACAGAAGCTCTGTTGACTGGAAAT